GCCTCCAGTCTTAACTCAACTTTCTGGTGTGCAGATTTTGAATATGAAATACTTAACAATGTTCAAAGTGCTTCTCCCCTAGCTGTTTGCCAAAGGGGAGAGTTGTTAATGTTAAACTCAGTAGGAAAATTACTGCAAGCCTCTGGCTATGGAGTTTCCCAAAACTTGTGTCACAATGTGACCCGTACTCTTGAGCCAGGGGCACAGAGTTGTTTTTGTCCTGTAGTACTTTTCCTCTAGTGATGGTGAAAGTTAAAAATTTCTGACCCATTGCCTGTGGTGTAAATAAACTGTAAATAGCTTGGGAGGGCACACTGGGATGTGAAGAAGTGAAAAAATGATCATTTTTTTTTCTTTTGGGGATGAAAGGAGGAGAACCATCAGAGCCTAAATTAACTCCCTCTTGCAAACATACAGTTTGAGGAGACATATCAGGATAAAAATACTAGTGATCTGTAAAAGGCACATTTTTCCTCATATGCTGCTACTCACATTTTACTTAATTAAAACAGTAGGTGCTTAATGCTGCGCTTACTTTTCCACTCTTTATGGTACTTGAGTTTTTTTGGGAGGGGCTACTTTGCTGCGTGTGGACAATGAGGGCTTGTGTCCATGGTAAGACTACTTTTAAAAGCCAAAATAAATATTGAAGTGGTTATAGTTATGCCGACATATCCCCCTATATGAAAATTCTTCCTCAAACTTTTTTTTTTAAATTTAACTTTTTATTGGAAATGGGTTTAAATCTGAGTGGAAAACCTGCCATGTTACTTGAATAGAAGTGTTCATCTGGAGGTCTACTCTACTTTTACTACTCTTTTCTTGTTCTGAAAAGTGTGGCAGGAGATTTTATTTTTTTTTCTTGTTATTCTGCCAGATTTTCCTGTTTACATCACACAGGCTTTAGGTTGTAAATCCTACAGGAGGCTTTTTTTAAATCAAATTTGACTTATTTTTAATCAGTTCTTGAACATGAAGTTGCCTCTCTGTTAGTGCAAAGGTCACTGATGTAACCTGTCCATCTTTACTGAAATTCACTTTTTAAATGTTTAATTAATAGTTGCAGGCAGAGTACATTGACTTTCAATTGAGTAGCCTGCAGGGAATCTTGAAAGTCATCAAGTCCTGTTCCTGGGATGAAAGAACCCTTTGCAATGATGAGAGCTGGCGACTAGCTCTGCTGGGAGGCCTTGGGCTCTGTGGACTATGCTGTACCCCTGAACATGTTCCAGTTCTGTGCCCTGGAGGCAAAGACCAGCTGCAGCTTGGGTGGGCTGAACAGAAGCATAGCCAGGAGGTCAAGGGGAAGGACTGCTCCCCTTTTGCTAGATGTAATTGTTTGACCACATGACACTGTGTCTGGCTTCAAGCCCCCCTTGATGCAAAAAAGGTGTTGACGGGTGTGAACAAGTCCAGCAGAGAGCCATGAAGATGATGAGGGATTGGAGGATGATTGGTAAGGATCATACTCCTCCTTCCTTGCCAGCCAGCTCTGTATCTTCTCTTCCTCTAACTCTTGTAGCTCCTGCTTGGTCTCAACTGCACAGATGTTTCGAACACTTGAGCACAGCTGTGCAATGCTTTCTTACCATTGATTTTTCACAAGAACAGACCCATCTTGTGGCCCTGTCTTGCTGTACTAGACACAGCAAAGTGTTGGCTGCTTTCTCTATATCTCAGTCCTTCCTGACTGTCATCACCCATGGAAAGGGCAGCCAGTTTTCCAGAACTGGGGAGGTATGCACCATGGACAATAGGCCACTGGTGCTAGTGATACCTACACAGTTTAAGAATGAACAGGATCCAACTGGTCCATCCAACTAAGCCAGAGCGCTGCAGCTTTAACTGCGATACTCAGCCACTTCAAGTCCTACGGATCATCCATTACAGAAGTGTTTATTGACAGAATATCCTGTCAGATTGAGAAGCTGTTGCTGCCAGTGGGAAGTCCTGCTCATATTTTTATTTGCCTGTTTTCCTCATGTGGAGGTTGTCATTAAAAAATAAATAAAAATATATATATGCTTGTTCTTCCCCATGCGGTGGTATTGCAACACCATGGTAGCTACTTTTTCTGGGGGAGTAGGTGGACTATAGTGGCTCAGGTATTCCAATAGCAGCAAGTGCTGATTTCTTTAAGTTAAATGTGAATAGTCCTGAAACTAATAGTAATAATTGCCTTTTTGAATGTGGGTGGGTTTTCTTTTCTTCTTCTTTTCTTCCTTAAAGCTGGAAAAACAAACATTTGCCAAATTGCTAGTCATAGGGCATGTTTTATCTAGGGTGTGACAGACTTTATTGCCTTTGAGAACTCAGGGTTTAGAAATGCTACTGGGTGGATAGCCCTGAAGGCAACAGTCCTTTATTTGTGTCAGAGCTTTTTTCTCATCTGTTTCTACGTAAAAATCCGCTGGGCTGGGAATTTACCTTCTAGTTAACACTACCATTATGGCCTGGGCAGTGAAATGCCACATTCCTTCTAGCAGTTCCCTTGTGGGCAGCTCTAGAGATTCCTCTGGGTTGCTATTTGCATGTCTCACTTCGTGCTGGAGGCTAAGCATGCTGCCCCACCAGGGGCAGGATGGAGAGTCCCAGCTGCATGTACAGCACTGAACAGAGACAAATCTCCAGGTCAAGACAGAGAAGCAGCCAGCACAATGCCAGGACTAACATGACTCACCCATCCACCCACCTTCTCCTTTTCTTCTCCAGGCTTTAGCAAACTTCTCCACATCTCCCACCTCATCTTCTGTGAACTAGAGAGACTGGGATGAAGCTTGCGGAGGGAAATGTGCACATGCTGAGCTGTGTGATTATTTTAAGGGACTAGCCTGGACATGGCAAAAAGCCTGGAGTGAGCATCATTCTTCAGGATGGCCCCGTCATCTTCACTTGATTTGCATGATGCCTGGTTGCCGTGTGGTCCCACTGTATAGCAGGAGCTTCTTGATGTACTGCAGCTCCCATTATAGCCATGAACAAAAAGCCCTTTTCTCAGCTTTATGGCATCTGAGGAGTTTTGGAGCTGTTGTTCAGTGCCTGCGCAGCTGGAGTGTAGAAGGAAAGCAGAATAAGACGAATGAAGTGTGCAGTGGCTGGGACACCCAAGCAAGTGTCCTCAGCCAGAGGTCTGAGTCAGTGATCTGAAATCCGTCCAATACATGGGACAAGTTTGGGTAGTCTGTTCTACCAGTCAGCAGTGACTGGCAGTTTTCACCTGGTTAAACATCCGTGAAAACTAGATTTGCAGTGGGGTCTAAAGATTTTGGTCAAAAGCAAATCCCACAGTTATAACTGAACCCAGCCTCAGGTGAGAACAGTTGATAGGAGCAAGAAACCAGGTCCATTCCCTTGCTGAACTTTCCTTATTTATTGTTTTAATAAACAGGAATCAATGTTCAGTAAATAAGCTTCCTGTCCTTAAGTTACTGTGTTCTTCTGACTATAAATAAGCTTTAAATCTGAGTTCTTGGCTGTGTTTTTGAATTTAAACCAGTGTTTGTACTCCCAAATGAATATAATGGGACTGAATTCCCCATGGAGTTTGCAGAGCTGTGGCTGCACTGGCTGTATCCTGCCATGGAGCTGTGCTTTCCTGCCTCCCAGCCAGGAAAAATGAGCAGCCCTTCAGCTAAAGGGAGTTTGCTGTGGGAGTGGCTGTGCCCGTGGGAGTAGCTGGATGTCCTGTGGCAGAGGTCCCAGTCCCCGGGAAGTGCATACTGGGAGGGGGCAGCTGGGAAGTGACTAGGCGTGCCCCCCCTGTCCCCCCCTGTAAACTTGAGGCTCACAGGCAGAGATGAGCCTGTGGCTTCCAGGGCTCCTTTCCATGCAATGGCCCTCAGGGATGTGTCTCTGAGCATCCTGTTTGGTTTGTGAAGCTGTACTACCCAACCCCTCAGGAAAAACATCCTTTGGATGCTGATTTCTGGGAGGATGCAGAGGCTGGAGGGTAAGCAGACAGGTTTCTCCTGTCCCATAGTTTGAGGTGGAGTGCTGTTACTAGCTGTTAACATGGTGTCTGCGCAAAGCTCCTCTGGGTGTTTTGTACAAATTCATGACCTCTGTGTCTCAGTAAGAAAGCGAGATATCTCTCTGTGCCTCAGTGTTTCTGCTTGCTGGCTATAGCTGGGGGTGAAGGTCCTGATCCTGCTGTACATCAGATCAGGCATTCCTGCCTTTCCCCACCACCTCTGTGTCAGCCTGACCATCCAGGGGACAGCTGTGAGGGGCTGGGCAGGTTGCAGACTGGAGGCAAGTGGCTTTCTAGGCCATCATTCCCTGGGCTGCTGAGCAGCAGGCAAGGCGTTCCTTCTCCTCGCTTGCTGTGTGTCTTAGCAGGGGCTCCTCCTGGTGTTTCAGCAGAGCCTCCACATTGATGAGAGTGATCCCTGGAGTGGGAGGCAGCGGAGCATGCCGTGCAGCTTAAGTGGTGTACTTGCGGGGCAGTACAGCATGCAGAGTAAAATCCAGGGGCTTCCAAAGTTGGGACTCACCATGGCTCACCATGGGCCATCCATTCATCATGTGATGCCATCCTGTCTATTCCAGAGGATGAACTGAATGCAGTTGAAGGGATGTGATCCTGACAGTCAGCAAGGGGAGTTCAGCACGTGGGCGTTACCAGCAGAGTTCAGACCTGTGCCAGCTTAATGACAAAGCTTCTGGGTTCCAGGGAGGCAGGGGACCAGTGAAAGCGGAGTGGTGTGCAAGGTTGCCTTCATCAAGGGAGTGTTTTTGCGGGAGTGGGGCTCTGCTGTGTGCCTTAACATCTGTGGAGCTGCAGTGAGTTTTACCTACCAGGAGCTGGATGTGCTTGTAAGAAATTGGTTCTTACTCATTTACTCATTGGTTCAACTCATTTACCACCTGGGAAAAGGTTGTGAGCATAACTTTCCTCATACCATCCTAGCCCACTGCAAACAGGCAGGCTCAGGGATTTAACTACTCTTCATGCCTAAATCTTGTATGAACAGCGGTATTTGTGTTTTTTATTTTTCTAGGGCAGCCACTGATCACAATGCTGATAACACCACAGCAATCCTTAGAGAGTGGCTGAAGAACGTGCAGAACCTCTACCATGATGTGGAGTGGAGGCCAATGGAAGACCCGCAGTGAGTACTGCAGGGAGGGGCTGGCTGAAGCTGTTCAAACTATATATCAAATTTTGTATTTTTTTTTCTTTTTTTCCTTTTTTCTTTTTGGTGGGGTCTGTTCTATTGAAACTGTGTTCTGGTGGAACACATAAAAAGGTCTTTGATTTCAGTGAAGCAATTCATGCAGAACTTTGGAGAAGAAAGCATTTTCCATTCAGTTATACAGCATCTGCAGTTGCTCTCTTTGCATGGTAAAGAAATCACATCAAAAGCTACAGGGATTAAAAACTGCTATTCTTTATCTGCAAGGGAGCAGAGAAATCATACCCTGTTCCCATAGTTCCTGTGAAAGTTCTGTCCCTGGCATCAAATACTCAATAAATTCTGAGCCAGGGAACTATGTTTAATTCAGCATATTATGCCTCTGCATATGATTTGCAGGATTATTCGTTTGAAATATACTGTTAGGTTTAAAGACAATCCTCTTTCAGGGAATTAAGGACTACACCTACTGAAATACATGATTTTGAAGTAGAAGAAACATGTTTAGGTTTTTATTATTAAGATCAGCTGTTCCTTGATCTTGTTCTATTTTCTATTTCTTCTATTTATAATATTATTTATTATACTTTCACTTTGGTTTAAGCTTGCTTATACTTTCGAGGTCTTTAGTGTGGTGGTGTGACATTCGTTGTGCAAACCTACCAGGACTGGTTGTTTTATTGATTTATTTTTTTTTTTAATCCTTGCATTGCAATTGATGTTTCCTAATCTTGTCAAACTTTTTTTTTTTCTTTTTAAGTTCTGTAATAAAAATTCTGAAATCCTTAGCTCCTTCAGTGGCTTATGCTGGCACTATTTCACAGCCATGAATTATATCTCACATAAGGATCTGTCCCAAAGTTTCCTTCCATCTCTGTTGCAAAGATCTGATCCTGAAAACAGAGACATGCACATAACTTTGTTCCCATGACTGGGCCCCTGAGCTTGGGTGTTGGGTGTTTGTTGGTTTAAGAGGTGTTACCAGAATGTGTTAACAGTTACTAATAATACACAGAGCCTGGGGGAATTTAAAATGCTCTTCATATTCACATCCTCAGCTGTGTTGATTCTGCTGTCTTTATAGACTTAAAGCCTAGCAGAGGACTTTCTACCAAAGGGTCAGATGAGGTAAATTAGCTTCAGTTCATTTTAGGAGGGTAACCTCTGCTTTCCTCAGGTGAGGGCCTGCCTGCTGCAGAAGAAACTGTTGGTTTTGACAGTGCAATTTTGCTTGTGGCCACTTGGTCAGCAGGAAATGCTGTAATGCTGCCTGTTTTCTGCTGTCTTGCGTACACATGCCAGTGTGAAGCGTGGAATCCTTTTCCCTCAGAACCACTTTTTTTTGTTTGTTTTTGTTTTTACCTCTCCTGAGTTACCTGAGGTGACTCTGATGCTGCTTTCCTTTTTCACAGAAGGCAGCAAGGGAACTAGACTTTTTTGATTGCTTTCCTTGCTAGGTCTTACCCAGAAGAAATTGGGCCAAAGCATTGGCCAAGCTCCCGGTTCACCCATGTGATGAAACTCCGCCAGGCTGCCCTGCGTGCGGCGCGAGAGAAGTGGTCAGACTACATCCTGGTAAATACAGTGCTTGATTTATTAACTGTCCTCAGGCAAAAGCTTTTCAGGTAGTCAGTCACTCTGATACTTGAGGCTGTCCGAAGGTTTCCTCTCCACATAAATTAAAAGCTCTATGCAGTGAGATGCCTTGTATCATTTCATGTTCTGATGAGCAAGACTTTGCAGTTAGGGGGACTAGTCTCTGGGTAAGCCAAAGGCTTTGTCCACAGGGTTAGGGGTTCTGGCTAAGCTGTTTTTGTCAGGATTGAATATAGTCTGGGTGGTGGGTAAGTACCTGCAAAGAGTCCCACAGACTGAAACATTGCCTGCTTCTGGTGAAATGTAAGGGGAATAGATGAGCAGGACAGTTGTGGAAAGATGTGTGCCTTTTGGTCACTGCAGCAGCAGTTAATAGTGGTGTTTCTGCAGCCTCTGAAGAAGGTGAGTGTGTGGGACCGTTTTTTCAAGAGTTTTTCCTGATCCTCTTCACAGAATAGACCAACGTGACTTTTCAGCATTGTTATTTGGCCTTGCATCTCCCTTGCCCTCTGCTGGAGTAGTTCTGTGGAATCCTCTGAAAGTTCCACATCTTTCCCCAGCCCATATTTCTGTCACAGGGGCAGCTACTCCTGTGTTCACCTATACCAGACATGTACTGTGGTATCAAAACCACCAGCTCAGTGGTTTTTGCTAATACCTCATGCCTCTGGTCACCTAATTCCCAAGATAATGTCATGGGAAGCATATTGTTTCATCTAATAACAATTTTCTTTTTCTCTTCCCCTCTTCTTTAGTTTGTTGATACGGATAATTTACTGACCAACCCACAAACCCTGAACCTGATGATAGCAGAGAACAAGACATTGGTGGCACCAATGCTCGAGTCTCGCTCTCTCTATTCTAACTTCTGGTGTGGCATCACCCCCCAGGCAAGTGACCTCATGAATGGTGACAAGTGACGGTGTAAGCTGTGCTTTCAGAGGCTCCTGTGCTGTGTCTGTGAAGCAGTGGGCGTAGTTTCTGTTTGTTAGACTTTACCACCTGTGTTTGTAATACAGATTGCTCCCTCTTCTGAAAAGTAGCTGCTGTTGTTATGAGGCAAGTCATGAGGATAGTGGTGTCACACAGTCATCTAAGCTTGCACCTCTCACTGGTGGGATCTAAACCCTGGGTGTGCGTATCTTTGGGAAAGGACTGTATGTTTATGGGGAGTCTGGGAATACAGGTAGAGGGGACACTGCAGTCTATAACTGTTTTTCACGCTTTGTTTTCTAACTGAGCTGTATGTATGAGCAAAGCAATGCATGTTTTGCATTGGGTGTGCAGACAAGTTTGCCTCCTCGTCTGAGATTCCTCACTTTTAAAAAGCTGTATCTGGAGGAAGCTGAGCTTGATTTGAGTGATGTTATTCCTAACCAAAAGTCTGGGGATGTGATACAATCACACTAATGATGTTAAAAAAAAAAAAAAAAGCCACGATACCCACAATCACACCAGTATTTATTTGAGGTGGTTCCATATGTTTGTGTAATAGCCTTAAAACTCATGGTCTTAAAACTCTTGGTACATAATTTTAGACCAGCTTTCCTGTATTTTGATGCTAATCTGAGAGGAATATGCTTTTCTTACTACAGCTCTCTGTTTTATATAGGCTATTTTTCTCACATGTGAACAAGATTTATGTGGTAGACAAACACCCTTTGCCTTGAATGGAGTGTGTATGTGCTGAAGTGCATATGTAAAGGACAGAAGTGTGTTGCTTAGAGTTTTGTGTTACCTTTTCAAATCACATGTACTACATTACATGAAGAATAAGATAAAAAATGTGTTAGTAGAAATAGCATTCTTTCTTTAAAGACAGAATGAGGTGAAGCTGTCACCTGTAACTTGCTTGTGCAGCGTTGTGGTGGGCTGACTCCAGCTGGCAGGAAAGTCCCCCTCCAGTCACTCCCCCTCAAGGCAGGATGGAGGAGAGAACTGGAAGGGCAAAAGTGAGGGGAATAAAACATGGGTTGAGATACAGACAGTTTTATAAGTGGCAAAGGAAATAAAACAAACGATGCACAAACATTAACTCACCACCAGCAAAACAGTGCCCAGGCAGTCCCTGAGCAATTTTGGATAAACTCTGGAAAATCTCCATGGAAGATTTTTTCCAAAGCACACGTCGGTGCACGTTCAGCGTTGGTTTGGTCACCAGTCTAAAACATAGCAGAATAAGGGCTTCTGTGGAGAAAATAATCTGCATCCCAGTCAAACCCAGTACAGTCACCTTGTTTATAAAAGGATTTTAGTAAGAGAATCAGTTATACAGAGGGGCAGATCTATCACCACAGTAATTTTAACTTTTTTTTTTTCCTACTGTTTTCATTTGCAATGTTTTTGACTAAGCTCTAGATGGGCTTTCCAAGACATTGAAGCTGAGATAAGGAATGTAGTTAGTGCTTTTTTTTTCTCCCAGCCCACAGGTAAACCTCAGTAACGAGATGATTTCTTTGATCTGTTCTCCAGTCAGCCGCCATAATATATTTTGTTATGTTTTGGGGAGATGGCATCTGTGTATCTCCTAACCTAGCAAGAATTTTTTCTGCTCATGTTTGCCCTGGAAAGTTTCAGGATTTGCATTTTCCTTCCATCCCCAGATTTTGTCTTTCCTTCATTGTAAATACAATAGACAAATGTGCTTAAGCCTGAGCTGCAGATATGTCTTTCAACATCCCTGGGGTATGTGAATATGAGTACTTCAGAGGGGCTCCACAGTCCTAACCTTCCCTTCTCTCTTGCTTTATTCTGGAGAGCTAACTGGATACTAATTGTCATTATTGATGGAATGAAACACACTCCCCTCTTGCACTTACCTGATGTAAAACATAATTGTTTCTGGTGTTACAAGCAAAGTGAAAACAGAGCAACTGTTCTGTAAATCAGAAAATGGGTTGCTTGTGTTGTTTGTGCAATACGTAAATCAGCTTTGCTTCACAGACTGAAGTGGATCCCTGCCTGTGTACACCAGCCTCAGCCCTGGCCCCTAGTGTTACCTGTTCGGTGGTAATTTTCCATCAATTAGCATTAGCTAATTGAATTAGCTGCAAAGAGAAGAAAAAAGTAGCAGCAAAAGCATCTTGCAGAATTTGAGGAGAAAAAAGCTGCTCAAATGAAAAGGAGAGTTCCCACTTTCATTCTTATTCTTTTAGTTGCTGCTGGCTTGTTTCTGTGCTTGTAGTCCCACATCTTTGCTCTTCTCTCTCAGCCTTGCTCTCCCTGGGGAGCTGGGGAGGGAATAACAGCTGGAACACGCCCTGCAACATGGCCTGCAGCACTGAGCAACAACAAGCCAAACCCAGCTCCAGACAGCTTGATGTTTCGTTGTCATGAAGCTAAGCTTAAGAAAGCACAGCAACAGTGCTGACAAGTTGGAGTCTTTCTTGATTACACATGATTTACAATCAGTAAAAAGCCCTAAAACCCTGTAGAGAGTGATTGGAGGAAGAAAGGTCAGTTTCCAGCATCTTTTACTAGTGGACAGTCTCCAATGTCTGTTAAAGGTTAAGTGTCTTAACCCTTCCTTCGGTGAGAATGCTAGTAAGGTCTGTACCTGCTCAGTTTTCAAATCAAGCTGGTTGTGTTTGAGACATCTGATCCTCACAATGTAGTCAGAAGGCATTTGAAGGGGATATGGGGGACCACAGAGGCATAAACAAACAGATGCACCACTCCTACACAATACTAGGGTAAAGTGGTTTTGCAGTGATCTGCTTGGCTGCTGTTTCTAGAATCCTCATGGAAAATGTAACTTAGAAATAACATCAACTTACTTTAGTGACTCATCATTTCTGTAAAGACCAGTGTCTACTCTGGATTCAACAGTCAGATGTGTTCAGATGTCTAATTGGTGCCTTAGGACTTTCTTTCTGAAGGAATTCTGTGTATTTATTTCCAAAACTGATAGCTTTAGAGGTATTGCACCTGCAAAACCAGCTGTGAGCTGCACACTATGGGTGATGCACCCACAGGGCTGGAAGGCTAGCAGAGCTTGTGGGTACAGAGAAAGGAGCTGACTGAAGTGCCTCCCCCAGAATGACTCTATGGGGAGAGCTCAGGAGTTGGTATTAAACCTGTTTGCCTTGGGATGGAGCAAGCAGGGATTGTTGCATACCTGATGGAGACACAGGTGTTGTCTTCCCAGAAGTCAAGTAAATATTTTTTGAAGTCATGGTCAGAAATAATTTGTAGGTCCTATTTTGAGAGGCTATGAATGCCCTTTGTGTGTGTTGAACATGGGGGATGCCAGACATGCTCAGCAGCCTCCAGGATCAGACCTGAGAGTCTGAGTGCAAAAAAAGGTTTTTGGAGAGCTGGTGTAGAATAGTCCCGGGTTTGAAGCTCTGTTGCAAGATGATTTTGCAGTGGAAAGGCTCGGATTTCCATTAACTTCTAAAAGACAGGGTCAAGCTTTACCTTCTGAGATGGGAATTGTTTATAAATACTTGACTGAGCCCTTTTCAAATGGGGTATACTTCAAAATCTGAGAATTTGGCACTGATTCATCCCTGCTGGGAGGGCGTAGGGCGAGAGCTTTTCCTAGGGAGCATCTATGAAACAAATCTCTTGTAACAAGCAGCTTGCTCATTGTGTTTGCAGGGCTATTACAAAAGGACCCTGGATTATCCCCTGATTCGGGAATGGAAGAGGACAGGCTGTTTTGCTGTCCCAATGATTCATTCCACATTCCTCATTGACTTGAGGAAAGAGGCCTCTACCAAGCTGATGTTCTACCCGCCCCACCAGGACTACACCTGGAGCTTTGATGATATCATGGTCTTTGCCTTCTCCAGTCGCCAAGCAGGTATGTCTGGAACCTTTGCTGGGGAGGGTTCACTAGTAGACATGCAGATCTCTGCTTGGAGTTTAGAGGCTAAAAGCCATGTGTTGACTTCAGTGGTGAGTTTGTACCCTGTTCCTTTGCTCTTTTGAATCTACACAAGGATAACAAACAAGAGATTGGCAATGCAGTGTCAAGCCACAGCTAGTTTCAGAGGCCATAGGAGCAACTCTCGGGATGGGGACAATGTTTCAGAGTCTAAATATGTGTCATCTGTCCTTGATTTGTGTTGCAGCAAGGCAGTAGTGAACACAGGTGAATGCTGTGAAAGTGGAAGTCTGTTCATAGGGTATCTAAAGTCACCGCTTCAGGAGACTCCTGGACTCTCTTTAGATGTAGCAGTCAGTTAGTAGTACTAACAAATAAACCTAGTTGCTTACCCACAGTGCTCTTGAGGCCTTGGTTCATGGCAGCTCAGCAGTTGTACATGAGTTGTTGGATTTTTTGTCTTAAAGCAAAGCTGGTGCAACTTTCAGACTGTGTTGAGAGGAAATCATAGCCAGGCAAGGGTGGGTTAGAGCTGATTTGTGAGTAGTAAAGTCTTTGCATAGTTGGCACTGTTCCATTGGTATATGAGGAGAACCAGTCAAGTGCTGAGCAGTCTTGAAACCCTTGGAGCACAGTGGAGAGAGAATGTGCACCACTCTGGCTGATACTGGAGTCTCTGATGGTGGGAGGATGTCAGCTGGACCTGAAATACAGAAGTCCTTTTATGCTAAGCCACAGCCTTGGTGTCCTCATCCCTGTTCAGGAATAGCTGTTGGGGTTAGCAAAGAGCTCCAGGTGTCTCAGAGGAAATGTTGTGTCTCTAAAATGCAAGATGCTACTGCTGCTTATACTTGTGGTGAGAATGTTAAGTCCCATTTATTCTCGGAGAATGGATCTGATGAGTATTCTGCCTCCAGCAATGTCCTGGGTAGCAGCAGGCCTATACGAAGCAGTGTCAGAGCTGAGGGTTGCTTCTGGAAAGCCTATGTCTTTAAAGGCTATTTGTATTTTTCTTTGCCCTGTTGTGTTGGACGGAGAAAGTTTAAGGCTTTATAAGATAAAAGGGGATGAAGAATCTTCAGCAGCACCAGTGAAATGCACTTCGATCCAGAGCTTCATGACTAGTTTTGCTGGCTTGATGAGGTGAAATAGCAAGCAGCCCTCGCCCTCATCACAGCATGGGGCTTTAAAAAAGAGAAAAGTTGTTTGAGTTAGGACTTCAGTACCTTGGCTTCAGAGAAGTCTGAATAGCAAAGCGGGCTCCTTCATATCTACCTGCCCTACTTGTTCCCTCTGACAGGTTTCCCAGAGATGCACCATCCAATGAGAGTGGTAACTGCATTGCAGTAGCTCCAGCTGTTTAAGAAATATTTCAGGGATTCAAACCCATCATTTTTTCCTTTGATTCTAGAACATTTTAATTTTTTCCAGTACTGACCCATGACATGAAAGCCAGTGCTTTGGCATTCTGGCCCGTCAGTCTGTTGGCTTTTGTCCTGGGCTGAGTTTTGCACCCTGGATAAAAGGATAACATCCAAGTTCAGAAATGTGCAAAATGTATGGACTTTGAGGCAAATTTCTCTTTGGAGGAATTTCACTTACTTGACTAAAGTCACAGGGATGTTGGGTTTTGTCCAGCCCAGCTACTACACTTAACACCACATATCAAAACAGCAGTTTTCAGCAATGAGTCTATTGCTTGACACAGCTGTTCCGTGATGCTCCAGAGAGACTGTCCCACTTTTGCTGAGAGGACGTGGCTCTTAATGGGACTACTGACTTGCAACAAAGCTCAGTGCAGGTGTTTTGTTGAGTGATGGGCCTGCATACTGAGAATAAGAGATAATAAGTGATCTTTCTCTTCTTCCTTTCTTCTTCCTGCAAAGGTGTGAGGGGCACAGCTGAGAACAGAGGGAGTTGGCACTGTAGAGCTGCTTGCACTTGCAAGATAGCATTTTGTCAGCCATATCTCCTGAGCTTCCTTTCAGCCTCAGGCTCTGAAGACCTAAAGCCAGCCAGCAGGAAGGTCCAGTTACAGGGGTGGGGGAGGGGGAAATGTAGGTTGCCTGACTATGGCTGTGGGTTTGGTCACTGCCTCACAAAGGATAATACAAGTATCTGTAGCTTTTCTGTCCCTTGTAGCAGTATTTATTTTTATTAGAAAAACAGAGCTGGAGAGTGAGTCCTGCTCCCTGTTTTAAGGCAGTTTTACTATTTTGAAGTAGCCTTTATCCCAGAAGGAACAGAAATATTGGTATGAGTCTACACAGATTAACTGTGTTTAAGCCAGCGGAAGATAAGAACAGAGATCAGTGAGCCAGATAAGATTAGTTGATTAGATCAGTGCCAAATCCATTAATGTCAGCAGGTCATACTTTTTTATTCTGCCATTTACCTAAACTACAGCTGACAGCTGAATGTGTTTTGGCAAGTAGTGCAGCCAATGATTTACTTGCAGAACTTAAAATGGTGTAAACATTGGAGTTGTAATGCAGACAGTTCTGCTCTGCTAAAAATACCAAGGATTAAGGGAACCAATACATGAAAGCATCAACACTCCAGGTAGTGTCTGCTTTTCATTTATTTTCTAGAGAGAGGGGAGTTGTTGTGCTTGCTTCATTAAATAGGGAAAAAAATGCAGAAAAGCTTCCAGGTTTGAATGTATTTATTTTAAATCTGTTTGTCCAGTTGAATGGGCTTTAGCAGCTTTAAGATGGCGGTTAATTAATAAAGGACCTTGCCAGAGCTCAATTCTGATCATGCATTGCTGGGGCATTTCCGATGAAGAAGCTCAGCAGTGAGTGGGTCTCTCCCTTGCAAAGGGCTCTGCTCTAAGAATTATAGAATCGCTAAGGTTAGAAAAGACCTCCAAGATCATCAGCACCACGTCCAACCTTTCCTTAAACACCCCCAGGGACGGTGACTCCACCACCTCCCTGGGCAACCCGTTCCAATGCCTGACTGCTCCTTTTGAGAAGAAATGTCTCCTCATTGCCAACCTGAACCTCCCCTGGCACAACTTGAGGCCATTCTCTCTAGTCCGATCACTAGATAACTGCGAGAAGAGGCCGACCCCCAGCTCCCCACACCTTCCTTTCAGGTACTTGTAGAGAGCAATGAGGTCTCCCCCGAATGTCCTCTTCCCGAGACTGAACAACCCCAGTTCCCTCAGCCACTCCTCACAGGACTTGTGCTCCAGGCCCTTCTCTGGACACATTCCAGGGCCTCGATGTCCTTCTTGTAGTGAGGGGTCCAAAGCTGAACACAGCACTCGAGGTGCAGCCTCACCAGAGCTGAGTACAGGGGGACCATCACCTCCCTGCTCCTGCTGGCTGCACTATTCCTGATCCAAACCAGGATACCGCTGGCCTTCTTGGCCACCTGGGCACACTGCTGGGCTGTGTTCAGGTGAACATCGAGTTGGAAGGGATGCATAAGGGTTGTTGAGTCCAACTCCTGGCTCCATGCAGGACCACCCAAAAAACAGACCATGTGTCTGATAGCATTGTCCAAACACTCTTTGAACTCCAGCAGGCTCAGTGCCATGACCACTGCCCTGGGGAGCCTGTTCAGTGCCCAACCGCCCTCTGGGTGCAGAACCTTTCCCTAACCCCCTGTCTGACCCTTCGCTGTCCCAGCTCCATGCCATTCCCTAGGGTCCTGTCGCTGTCCCCAGAGAGCAGAGCTCAGCACCTGCCCCTCCACTCCCCTCGTGAGGGAGCTGCAGGCCGCCATGAGGCCTCCCCTCAGCCTGCTCTGCTCGGGGCTGAACAAACCAAGGGGCCTCAGCCGCTCCTCACACCTCTTCCCCTCTAGACCCTTCACCATCATCATAGCCCTCCTTTGGACACTAACAGCTCTATGTCCTTGTTATGTTGTGGTGCCCAAAGCTGCACCCAGTGCTTGAGGTGAGGCTGCCCCAGGCAGAGCAGAGCAGAGCACCCCTCCCTCAGCCAGACGGCAGGGCCGTGCCTGAGGCACTCCAGGGCACGGTCGGCCCTTTGGCTGCCAAGGCCCACTGCTGGCTCATGATCAGCTCGACATCGACCAGAAACCCCAGATCCCTTTCTGTAGTGCTGCTCTTCTGCCTGCATCCCCCATCTGTACGTACAGCTGGGGCTGCCCCATCCCAGGTGCAGAATATTTTTGAATTGTTTGCTGATGAAGCAGAACCTCTTGAGATTGAAGTCCAGGTATAAGTTTGATTATGGCTGTATATCAACAGAGCAGTGAAATCTGCTGACAAAAGACCTGACTTTATTTTCTGTTTTTCTGTGACCCTCAGGAATTCAGATGTACATCTGCAACCGTGAGCACTATGGTTTCCTTCCCATGCCCCTGAAATCACATCAGATGCTGCAAGAAGAAGCTGAGAACTTTGTGCACACATTAATTGAAGCTATGAGTAAGTTACTGTGCTCTGCTATGATGGAGCTCCCCAGTTAATGATGGTAGAGCTCTGCTGCCAGTTCCCAGGTCTTCCCCTTGGGAGTCTGGGAGAATTTGCATCCTTACTGTTCTCACACAGTTTTGATATACACGTTTTCCAATTTCCACAGCTTTTCTACATAGAGGTGTAATCATGGCTGAGTCAACTCTGTTCACAAAACCCCTCAACTTCCCCATCAATTGCAAAATTGCATCTTTAATGGAGAAAGGATGCTGCAGAACCTCATCTTTATCATGAGGTCTGTTTGGCACATAATTGCTCCCTTCTGCTGTGCAGTGTGGATGCTTTTTGCTGCACCCACTGCTGCCCTGACTGCACATCCCAGCTCCCGGGGCTTTAGGCCCAGTGATGAAGACATATGCAGATACATTATATCAACTAAGCGCATACATCAAGGTGATGGTTGGGATTTCTCCTCTCTTACAGTTGATCGTCCTCCCATTGAACCTTCTCAGTATGTCTCTGTTCCTCCAAAGCACCCTGACAAGATGGGATTTGATGAAGTAAGAATCTTAATTTGCTGTCCTTGTCTTCCCATTCATTACTCAGAGGGCTTGGGTTTTCCAGGTAGCTGAGCTTCCAGATGTTTCTCTTGGAATATATTATCTCTTCACACAATTAGTTCTTTCCCAATTATTCATTTCTTGTCCTGTTTCTTCTAAATCTGACTCTACAGAGCAGCTTGGCAGTCCCTTCATTCTGTGATAAAAAATGGTCCTTTAGGAAAGCTCTCCTGCTCTGAAGTGACGGAGGAGAATGATTTCTGTAACCTGAGAAACACATTATAGAGCCCAGAACAGCTGAGGGAGACAGGCCTTGAGCAAGGCTCTAGCCCAAGCTGGGTATGTCCTTGAGAGATGAAGATCACACATGTGGCCACCTTACTGTGGCAGCTGTCCCCCTGTCCTGTTTGATTGCCACATTTTTCTGCTACAGCCTTAAGTAAAAAATATCTAGAAAGATCATTGCTGATGCTGGTAGCACCCCAAGACCTTGCAGAAATTCCTCTCACATCTCTTTCTCACAATGTGGAGAGAGTAGGCATTGAGGGGAGAGGGCTGGAGAGGGATCTGCTGTGCTAGTGATTAGCGAGTGTCCATATTTTTCACAGAGCCATAACCCCTTGTGTATACAGCTGCCAGGGTTGCAGTGGCACCGTGACTGAGGGAGCTGTGGTGATCAGGGGAGCCTTTGTTTTCATGCTTGTTTTGCTACATCTGTTTATATGACTTGTATAGTAAAGTCTGAACTTGATTTGGCTACGTGTGTTTGAGTGTCTGTGTTTAGAACACAGCTGGCATAGGTTTTTTCCATGTTGTCCTTTGTGGCTGCACTTTATTTATCCAATTTATTATTTTTGCATTTGTACTGGGCTGGAATTTGATCTGCTTCTTACTGGGATGAGGTTTTGCTCCACAACCTACAAGGCTTCGATTGTACTTGTCTGTCTGTGACTGAAAAATATCCCTGACCCTCTGCAGTTTACCTGCAAGTGAGGCTTCAGTCTTCAGCCCTCCACCAAGGAGTCTGTTTCTTCCAGGCTTGGACTGAGCTCTACCCAGACATCTCTGTTCCAGGTCTTGGCTTTTTGCTAGGCTTTCTACTCTGGCAAGGATAACAGCATTTTCAATGCCTGAAGTAATTACAAAAACGTTCTCTGTACTGTGTCTTTGTACTTCTATACTCACCCCACTGATAATCCTAAATATGGGCAATTGCATCTTCGTGGAGAGACACGTGGGTCAACATTCTTCTTGAATTGGAGCTGGCAAACAATTTTTTTTTTTTTTTGTATTTAATAAAAATCAAAACATCCTTTATCTGTGGAAAATACAGGCTTGGCTCTAGCTGTCCTTCTCTCATCTTTATTCATCATTGAAGACCAACTTTCACTTGTTTCATAAAAGGAAGTTGTCGGACAAAGAACAAGCCTCTAACCTTTCAGCTCAAAACCAAACCTATTTTTTGACAAATTCTAAACAATCTCAAATGAAAACACACCTGTATTTTAATAACACCTGCTTTTATTATGGGGCTGCTAGAAAAGAGTGGATCAGGACTTCCTGTTCTTACTCCCTCCCATACCCGGATGCTGATGTCTTTCTCTTCAACCTAGATTTTCATGATCAATCTGAAGCGTCGGAAAGACAGGCGGGATCGGATGCTGCGGACTCTCTATGAACAGGAGATTGCAGTCAAGATAGTGGAGGCTGTGGATGGAAAGTGAGTTTCAGCTGGGGTTGCTAAAGTTTGCAAAACGTGGATTGTGCTTAAGTGCTTTGCACCATCTCCTCGGATACCCTGACCTTCCTTCTGGTGAGGAAGGGTGGGCTGAGGGGAGAGGTGAATGTCACTTTTTATTCATGGGTCTACTGGTCTAAGTGGGGCAGTTCTGCTATTTCTTCCTTCTCTTGACCTCAGTCATTCTACATGAGAGAACCAGAACAGTGTGGTTCAGGTGCAGTTAGGAACCGACATACCATCTACTGGCCTTGAGTCTTGGGTACCCATCTAGACCTCTTAGAAAAATATTCTAAGCCAAGCAACTAACAAGTAAATGGTCCCACAAGAAGTTACTGGCAACATTAAGGGTATGACTTGTCTGTCCTCAGGACATGCTTTGCCTTGTGGATTTCTCTAACACAGTGTATTAGGGAAACAGTCTGTAAGCAAAAGTGGTTGTGACTTGTCTGATTTCAGCTTCAGCACTGGTAGTCTCAAAGCAGTCAGGTCACAGAAAGTGAGGGTGGCTGGGGTGAAGGTATTCATGGTGGTAGGCATGCTTGAAGGGCAATGCTGCTGGAAGGCTGCAGCTTTCTGTAGACATTTGTCTTCAGACGTTTCCAGTGTTCAGTTAGATTTAGAAATGTAAATTAAGATTTTTTTTCTTCAGGTTTTTGAGCAAAACAAATACAAGAATTCCTCGACAAACCGCTTTTCCCTGAACATCAGCAGCATTTCCTGTGCTGCTTCTGTGTCTGACTTGTAATTGACTTTTTTTTTTTTTTAAATGGTGATAGATACTTTCTTTCCCAGAGCACTGAACACGAGTCAGCTCAAAGCTCTCAGCATTGATATGCTTCCGGGTTACCGTGACCCATATTCCTCCAGGCCACTAACCAGGGGAGAGATCGGCTGCTTCCTTAGTCACTATTACATCTGGAAGGAGGTAAGAAGTTTTTGGGTGCTCAGGGTTGCTGCAGGACAGCACTGTGGGCAGACGTATTAGGAAAGTACACAGCTAGTCATAAGGCAGAGCGTCAAATACGGTATAGGTTTCTGGAAGCATAGCATGGAAATGTTTTCCTCAGTTTATAGAGGATCATACACAAAGTTTTTCTTGAATGCAGTGCTCAGCTTTCCCTTCTCTGTATTCTATTTGCCAACAGCTTTGAAGAATTTTATCAAAATACAGACCAAAATGTAAATTGCAGACCATCCAATAGCATGCTTGAAGCAAATTTGTTTAGGAGAAAGGCTGGAAGGTTTTGAAGAACAAATGATACTAAAAAACTCCTCTCTTTTTGTTGCTGTTGTTGTTGTCTTTGGTTCTATATCTGTGCTGAAGCAAGTTCAGGCCTATTTTCAGGCCTATTTTCAGGCCTGTTCTCATTGGCTCTTGCAGTCTCTCCTGGCTGAGCTATGAATTTGTGAGTGGTCCTCTTGCCTCCCTGCCGGCATGGTCTAGAAGGTACTGCCAGGTCAAGATGGCCCCAGCAATTTCAGGGTGCAAGGAGTGGCCCAAATGGGTTGCTGTGATCATTTCAGTACCCTCTTGTTTCAGGTGGTGAACAGAGAACTGGAGAAGACACTTGTTATCGAGGACGATGTGCGCTTTGAGCACCAGTTTAAAAGGAAGCTCATGAAGCTGATGGATGACATTGAAGAAGCACAGCTAGATTGGGAGCTTATGTAAGTAACTGGCCCTCAGCCACCTGGGAACTTCTGGGCGCACATACTGTGTCGTGGTAGAGATGAGGGTTAGTGTCAGCCAGAGTTGCTTCTCAGTGGGCTCTTCCCATTAGGAGAGGTTTGCATCCTGGGGCAGGCTGGAGTGACCGAACTGCAATGGGTAGCATCACTGCCCTCTGTGGGCAGTTTGGAGATGCTGCTGGGACAGAGGAGCTGCCACAGCCCTGTCCTGGGGTTTGGGCAGTGGCAGCCTAACTCTCCGAGTCTTTTACAGCTGTGCCATCGACTTGGTTAAGGCGCAGCTGTGAAAGACTCAGAGGGTCTTTCAAAATCACTCTCAAATTCACAGCTCAGCTGGGAGAGACTGCAAGAGCCAGTGAGAACAGGCCTGAAAATATCCTTCAGGCTGAGCACCAGTAACATAGTGCCCCTGGAGAAACCCTCCATCTGATGTTGCACTGCAAGCTACCAACTAGCACAACCACAGCAACCCAGTCTGACAGTGATGCAGGACAGAAATCTGTGAGCAGGGATTACTTCTTGGATTGACTCTTTGCCCTGTCCTGGTCAAAATAAACAGTTGTCGTATTTGCTTCAGATTCACTTCAGCTCAAAATTCTGTTTTCTTTTCACCCTTTCAGATACATTGGACGGAAAAGGATGCAGGTGCAGCAGCCTGAGAAAGCAGTTCCCAATGTCATGAACCTCGTGGAAGCTGATTACTCTTATTGGACCCTGGGGTATGCAATCTCTTTCCAAGGTGCTCAGAAACTAATTGGAGCTGAGCCTTTCAGCAAGATGCTGCCAGTAGATGAGTTTCTGCCGGTCATGTACAACAAGCACCCTGTGTAAGTAGGATGCCTTTGTTGCTCAGGTTGACATGAGCTGGGTCTTGCTGGGTGATCTCAAACCAGTTGGTGATGTGTCTCACTTCTGTAGCCTGGGTGGTCAGGAACAGGGCTAAGCCTTGTACTTTTTGGTTGTTTGCAGCAGAGCTGACACAGGTCAAAAGAGGTAACAGACCTGCTGCAGAGGGGTTATTTTGCCCACCCAGTGCAGGGCTTGCAGGCTGGTTCTGAGACATGTGCCTGTCTGCAAGAGAGGCTTTGTGTAGGTTGTTTGTGGTTGTAAGGTTGTAGAGTGTCAGACCTGCTTTAGACCCACCCTAGCAACTACCTCCCTGCCCCGGGACCTGTTTGCTCAGTGGATTGACTTGCATTTCAAAGTTATAACCAGTGGCACTGATGAACATTCACTCTGTTTCTGATGATTTTTCTTCCCCATTTAGAGCAAAGTACATGGAATACTATGAGTCCAGAGACTTGAAAGCCTTTTCAGCAGAACCACTGCTTGTTTACCCCACTCACTACACAGGGCAGCCAGGCTACCTCAGCGACACAGAGACCTCTACGATCTGGGACAATGAGACCGTGTCAACTGACTGGGACCGAACACACTCCTGGAAGTCCCGGCAGCAGGGCAAGATCCATAGTGACGCCCAGAACAAGGATGCCCTGCCTCCTCAGTCATCTCTCAACACGCCATCCTCCAGGGATGAGCTATGACTGCCTGCTTCCCCTGGGCTCTGTTGACAGCTGAACCTGCCTCACACCTGCTTTGCACCCTTGAAAGTTGTAGAGCAGCTGTTCGTGTGGTCTCCTTCCTGCTACCTGGAATGGCAAAGCAGGGTGGTTGGACCTGGTTGTGTTACAGCTTACCAGGCTGCTTTTCCAGGACTGCGGGGAGAGGAAGGAGGAAAAAGTGTTCCAAAAGGCTGAAAAAAGGCAGAGATCTGAACAAAAGCCTTTGCAAGCTTTTGTAAACAAACAAACAAAACAAAAACCTTGAACGACGTCTTTCTACAGTACATTGTGTAGAATACTGTATTTATGAAGATTAATATATAGAGGTGTACAAGTGTTAATACCTTTCTGGATAGCTGTAACTGGGCTGCTGTGTAACTGTTACTTCTTGTAGGTTTGTAGGCTTTTGTAACCCTGTTTGCTGAGAGAAACTGCAGGCAAGTGTTCAGGTTATTTGGTTTTGTTTTTCAAAGGGATCCCTGTCAAAGGGTTTCCAAAAATGCTTGATGCACTGGAGCGGTGCTCCAGTGTAGTGTCTTCTCCTTCATCACTCTTCTGCAGAATAACATTTCTGGCTCCCCTCTAAATTTAAAGACTTCCTAGATCCCATCCCAGTAGGTCTGCCAGTCTGGAACTGATATCTTGGCATGTCTAGAATCTTGGAAACTAGCAGATAAAGCAGTGGTTCCCCCATCTGTTTTTCTCTGCACTGTCTGAAGGGAACATGCCTTGCTTTCTCCCTGCCCAATTTATTCCTTCAGGAAAAGAAAGCCTGACAACCTTTTTGCAGGCCTGTTTAAGTAGGCCACAAAAACAAACATAGGAAATTTGATTTTTACAGTTCTGGTTACAAACTTCTTATGCTATCCTAATAGAACAACTGACCAAAATGTCAGTGCTGTCAACTGTACCATTCTCAACAGCCTTGATATAGAATTGTGTTACAGGACGGAAAGGCAACTTGTCTTGATATTTTTTCAAGTGAGGAGCAAACTGACTTGCCGTTGGCTAGCATGTCAGCAGTGTGTGATGTTGTTTTTTGTTGTTTTTTTTTTAAAGGTTTCTTAGAGGCCAGGTGATTGTGGACTACACTGCTTAGGTTTAGCTGGCACAGGTCTCAACCTGCAGGCACTTGTTGCAGGGGGTAATGTTCTCCTGCACTAGCAACCTGGAGACTCGCCTGCTGGCTAATCTGTACAGTTGAGTATGTGTGGTTGTGTGTTTTTTTATTGTTGTTTGTTTTAATAATTACTGATCAAAATTGTGCTTTCGGCTAAAGAAGACATGTTATTATTACCTGTCAGCGGGTCTGATAATACATAGAACCTGGTGCAAGACAAGCAGCTGTGTGTACTCTTCATTGGGTGGGAGCAGGCCCCAGCTGGGGAGGCCAGTTCTCCGCCTCTGGGCTGGCTCACGCGCAGCTGTGTTGAAGTGAAGTATTTTCCAACAAGCCTACTCTGGCTCTGGGAAGACATTGAAGCCCAAGCTAGTGGAGTCAAGAGTGTTTTCAGCTATGTTACTGTACCACGGAGTTGTTGGCCATTTTTTTGTACTGCAGCTATTGCCTTGAAGCCATGTTCCTGCTGCTGTTCAGGATGGAGCAGGTGGCCCTGCGACATGGTGAGTACGGAGAGTAGATCTGCCATGTGCCACCATGCACAGCCTGGGCTATTCCTCTTTGACAAGCCCTCCTGCCTCTTCCTTGCTTTACCAGCAGCAATGCTGACCTGTTTCAAGCGTTGTTGACCATGGCGATCCCAGAGACTTTGGTAAGAAGCTTAATGTGGCCTTCAGAAGTAGATCTCTGCGCTGGTGAGCATCCAGCGTATTGTCACGTGCCGCGATGTGTAAGAGTACGGTGTTGTGAAGCTTTTCAGTTATGTTGTGCTTCCCTGGGGACTGGGGCTGATTCCTTCAGGCTTTGGTGGTGCTGTTTGAGAGCTGGGTAGCTGCTAGAGCCGTGTTGGGAAGGGTGCATGAGAGGAGCAGGGCCCCAGCTTGGTGTCACTCCCTGTGGGCCTGCAGCCTTGCTAACCAACGTGCGTGCATACCTGAGACTGGCAGAACAGTGCGGGTGAGCCAGTGTGGGATGGGTGAGTGGCATCAAGACCAAGGCGTTTCCCTAATCTAACAGTGTGGCTGCCTCAGAGGTTTGTTAGAGTTATGCTGCGTGTCTCCTCCAGCCTCGTGTGCTTTTCTGGTCAGTGTTGGACCCATCTGTGTCTGAGCGAGGCCTGACTTCCTCTAGCCATGGGAATGACGTACCCTTGTGAGCACTGCTTTGGCCAGCCCTTCTTCTCCTGCCCTTTCATGATTATATTGAAGCAGTTCCTCCACGAACATCTTGGCTGAAAACATAGCTTGTGCTGCTCACGGTACTCTGTGCTTCATGGTGGGGGCTGGAGAGGACTGACTATAGGGGCATGTGCAGCATCCCAGCTCCCAGACCCGCTTGCTGGGCTGGGATGCTGCTGGGCCTGAGGGTGGGTGGACAGCAGGGCCTGGCAGCACGCTTTCCTTCTGCCCCTTCCCTGGGTGCTCAGGGCCACGCAGCAGGAGCATCACTGTGTGTCGGGGGAGAGAATGGTTTCTTGCCTCTGTGGGGGCTTGATCCTGTAGCTCATAGTGAGGAGGAGTTTTGTCTGAGGGAGGCCTGCACAAGCAGGCAGCTAGTGAAGCCACTGCTGCACTGGCCAGGCAGGAAATGGAGGTTGGGTCCCGCTGCTTTCTTTAACCTTATTGTAGCTCATTCAGATGATAAATAATAATAATAATAAATCTCTCTGCATCACCAATACAGCCTTTTGTGTTGGAGCACCGGGTGCTCCACAGCGAGCCCCGCTGATGTGCAGAGGTTGAGGCCATGCGACTGGGTGAGGCTGCCTCTGCTCAGCGGTGGGTGCTGCACGGCCGCCAGGGCATGGCTGCCTCTCAGCGACCAAGCTGGAAGCATGGCGTGTGCTGTCTGAAAGTGGTGCTGCTAGCAGAGGTGCTTTGGAAGCTCAGGTAAGCTTAGTTTTATTTAGTTTTGATTTCCTGGAGCCGAGTGGTAGCAGTTTATTGAAAAACGACAGCTGGGTTGGGTTTGTTTTTGTATTTCTTGTGTGTATTTTCTTTGAGTCGACTCTGGAAGTGCGTGTACAGGAGTTTGGTGTTTTTGAGGGGGAGTGAAACAAATTAAGAACGAAAATTATAATGAATGAATGGAGTGAATGCATACATTTTAGAGCAGACCTGGCCTCAGTCTCGCTCATTATTATTTCACATATAGATCCCTGCGTGTGTGTGTACACACACAATTTTTTATTTCTACATGTACATGCCAGATGTGGTAGATGGCAGTGGTTCTGCCTGCTATGACAAGTGCTGTTTTTTCTTGCCTCAGTTCCTTGGCAGGTGGTGCTCAGGCTTTGCCCTACTCAGAATGAGCTGTGTTTTGGAGACACAGGAGCCACTTGAAACACTTCTGCTGTTTTTCCACTTTTCACGTACTTATTTTTTTGCCTAATGTCATGAGCTTCAAAATGAGTGGAAGCAGGAGCCAGCTTGAAGCAGCCTCCTGTCTGGCTGAGACCCTAGTTTGCTGTGGGCAGTGCAGGACACTGGGGCACAGTGCAAGCGTGAAAGGGGTGTCCCTGCTGTGTCTTGCATGGGCAAGGGGGTACCTTGTGCTGCAGCCCTGCGCTTGGGAGGCCTGGCTCAGAGCAGGCAGGCAGATGTGGTCAGGCTTGGGATTCAGCACATGAAGTTGCAGGGTGAGGAGAGCGCAGCCCTTGTTGTCTGTATGCCCGTTATGCAGCTTGCAACTGGGTTTCTGTTAGCAGAACTTAAGTGGCAGGAATTTGCCAGGCAGCTTGGGGAAGCAAGGAAGGATTTTTTTTTTTTCCTTCTCTCCCTTCCTCACATCAGGTTTTTGCTCTGCTGTGGAACATCTGTGCTAAGCCCCAGGAGGCGCCAGCTGATGAAAATCACCCAGCAAGTACCTACTGTGATGGGGCTGGTGACAGACCAGAGGAAGCTAGAAACAAATTTGACAAAGAACAAGTAGCATGACAGCTGAAAAAAGCAGCTTGTTTGCAAGAAAGGTTACAATGACAGGCCCTAAAAATGATTATCTGCAGTAAGACTGCTTATAACCTAACAACTCTGTCTTTGCTTTTGTTTAAGAAGTGCTGTTTATAGTGAAAAATAGGGCGATACGAAATTCGTAGTTCACAAATATATTGTGTTTATCCTGAAGGAAGCCAAATAGGCTTTGCTGTTGGTTCCTAACCCTGCATCCATCTCCCCTTTCTCCCCACCCCTAGGTAGTTTAACGAGAAAAAGAAAGAAGTGCAGCATAAATTGGGAGTATTCCTTCTTTTGCCTTTGCTTTGCAACATGTGTGTGGCTCTTCAGTGACAAAGGACTTCCCCACCTCATAGCCTGTGGCAGATGGCTGCCGGTAGTTTTACACATCCTGCCCGATGAGAATGGCAGGTCAGCTGCAGGAGAGCCAGGAGGGTAAGAGGCAAAGCAGCTGTGATACAAACGCCCCTTTTTGTACTGTTGTGCAGGTGGCAACAGCAAAGGGTTCTGAGGCCAGGAGAAAACATGGCATGGTGGTGAAAAAGGGGCCAGGATGGACCACTCAAAACATTCTTTTTTTTTTTTTTCTTTTTTTCTTTTTTTTTTTTTTGTAGTAGCTTGCTGCAGAAATCATTCAGTGACCCAAAAGAGAATGTGGTTATGAAAAGTAAAATTTGTGTGTAGTCAACGTTCCCCAGTTAGTTGCAACAGAAACATTAAACAGAAAGCTTAGGAAACAGTATAAAATATTCCATAGAAAGCAACAGATTGGTGTGTTTGTGGTGGATGTTCTGGGAAGGCTTTTGCTTTGCTAACATTTACCTCTAGCCCTCAGCAAGTTCCTTGCATTCCTGCAGTGTGACCATGGAGGGTTCATGTGCAGCTGCTGCCACTCAGTGGGCAATGTGGGTGAGAGAGAAGTGACTCGGAAGCTGTCATTGTAAGATTATTTGTTTTTTTAAAGCACTACTATGATCCTGGTGGTGGTCTCAAACAATACAGAACTGCTGCTTAGGGGGATGTCGAAAAGTGGAACAACGCTGCAGGAAGATTGTAGCTAAAAAGTTACAGCTAAAGGTAAGAACAAGCTGAAACGCTCTCTTTCCAGGTAGTGAATGGCAGATGGGTTGTGAGAGCTGGAGAAAGCTGAGAACAGTTAAAACAATAAATGTGATTATGTTAAAGATGGGACAGTGATGGAAGGTGGTGTGAAACGTAAAAAAAAAAAAAAAAAAAAAAAGTTTTAAATGCAGGAGTCAAAATAGAAGAAAGTAGATTAACTTCAGACAACTATTAGTGAAAAAATGTTTATATACTTACTGTATAAAGATTACAGATAAGCAGTTAATTTTTTTAAAATATATAACCTTTTTTTTGGGCAGGGGGGCTGTCATTTAAAAATCGCTTTCAGCATAATATGGGCATGCACCCTCAGAGTTAGCAACGCTGTAATTTACAAAGGATACAGTACAGACATCAATGCACACTTACACAATAATGTGAAGAAAAACAATTTCTGTTGTAAAATTGTGCTAACTCTGAGCAAATGTTAAGGCTCAGTTATAAATTCACTCTCTCACCAGAAATAGTTTGAGTTTTTGAACTACTCAGGCTATGCCTGTATGGTGCTACTTGTGCCTAGAGGTCACAATCACGTAGTCACATCTTTGTGTAGTGGAGAACATAGCACAACCCACTGCTTCTTGTATCGTGAGTTTATCACTGATTGTTAAAGTAATCTGAGCCCAGTTTTGAAAATGGCAGCTACAGAACTGGTGGAAAAAAAGCCTTAGGTATGTGTAAAATTCAGTATTTGAGTTTATTTTAACTAATGCTAATGTATCTCAAAGACAGTCTGTTCTGTGAGGGCTGTTTACAATCCAATGTGTCAATTATGGCTTTTTAAAATCAAACCTCTGTCCTTTCAAGGAAGCCTGTGTTCTGGGAAGAGAGTCTAGAAAGATGTTACTTAAAGTTTCACAGAGAGTAGATGCTTAAATTCTTTATTCCAGCTGAAAGAATGTACCATGTCAGGAAATCCATTTAATAGATGTATATAAAGAGCAAGAGAGGTGGCTGGAGATTATGCATAATAATGCTACAACTATATAAAATCTCTGTTTGGTTGGGGTAATGCTAAAAACCTGGCTATTTCCTCTCAATATCCACTTTTAAAATAAAAGGGTTGTAGTTGCCTCTCGTGGAATGACACTTGGATTAATGCAGGCAAAATTTTGCTCCTGAAAAGTGATTGCACATTACAAAGAGGTACATCAGTCAGTTCAGAGTACATGCAAAAGGCATCAGGTTCTGTTGGAGGGGTTAGCAAAGCAAAAGGAAAACCGCACTGTAGTGGCATTACGACAAGCCCCAGATCCATACACGTAGTGTTTGTTGCCTTGGTCATTAACAAATCATGACATTCATCTGCAAGCAAGTGCGGTCCATTCTCTTAATGTTCTTTGGGGGAAAAAAATAAAAAGGGGGTAATTTTCTGGCTTTGAACAAGTGCAAAAAAGAAGGGTGCCAGCAGTGTGACAGCAATATGCGCACTTGCAGTTACTTCTTCCTTCTCCAGAGATGAGTGTTTTGGGGACATACCCACGTTGCTTTTTCATGAATGCAAATGCCTCCGGAGGCAGCAGTGGCTGGTGGCACCCAGTTCACCCACACATTCCGCAAACCAGGGCTCCCCTCAGGCAGCTGGCGGCTGGCCGGGATCTCCTGCTTGGTTCTGGCAGAACTGCATTGTGGCTTTTCTTCTCCAGTTTTATAAAAATAAATTTAGGCATTCTTGTTCTTTGTAATACTGGCAAAACAAAAATGTTTTTTCACAAGAAAAGTTAGGCGTATGTGGTATTCTGAAGACAAACGTTGCAGTCCTGTTTTCCCCTCTAAATGGGGCTCTCACCTTCCTAGACTAATGTGCAAAACAAAACGAAACTCTTAGTCTGGGCTGTCTCGTAAATCCAAGTCTGTCCAGCTCCAGGGGAGGCACATTTCTGGCTGTAGGTCTACCAAATGCTCACTTTGCATTTGTCTCAAACATTTTCAAAGTTGAATACTGACACATTCATCTGCTGCAATTCTGTAATACTGGATGGTAGCAAAGGTACAGTCCTCATTCAGTTCGCCTTGGTGTGGCCTTGCTCCCCCTCAGAGCGTAATTTTGCTGTTCCTGTTACTCCAGCACCCCCGTTTGGCAGTTCTGGGGAGGGTCAGGCTTGACCGACTCCTCATTTTCACCTGTTCATCGACTGAAGCTTTTTTCCGCAGGATGAAATCGAAGTTCACCTGGCTGTTCATGGCGTAGAACACGTTGGCGCTGTCTGGTATCACCAGCTCTGCAAAAAAGGGACAAGAGCGCATGTGAAGGTGTGGTATTGCAAACTGCAGGAGGAAAGGCAGGGAAGCAAGGGAAGCACGGTGAGTAGATGCGCACACTGACAGCTGGGGCAGTGCTGCCCCCTCTCCTTATTCTGCTGCCCCTCTTCAGCTGTCCCACAAAAAAAGCAGGTGAAGGTTGTGGAGGACAAGAGATGGAGGCCAGACCCAGACCAAGTCCAGCTGGGCAGAGGCCCTGGCAGCCACTCCCGGAGGAGGCTGTGCCAAAAACTACCTGCTTGCAGGGCCGGCAGTGCCACAGGGCCCTGGGCTGCCCTGACTCTGCCAGCAGCCCCCTGGGCCAGACTGTGCTCAGGGAGTGTGAGCAGCTGCGCTTCCGTAGGGCGCACTGCCATTGCGGCACACACACACAGGGCTGCCTGTAGCAAGTGGTGTGCTGACACGGGCTGTGCTAAACCACCCCCACACATCAGTTATCTGGGGTTTATTCTCACTGGCAGCTATAATAACATGTCTGTGGCATTTCCACAGTTGCTTCACATTTCACCCCTTCCTTCAAAATGAAGCATAATTTTTCAAGCAGCACCAGAGTTCTGCTTCCCTACCTTTATCCTCAGAGATGACCTGTACGAGCTCATACTCCTCAGCTGTATCAGATTCCAGGTTGTGCTTCAACATAGCTCTCTGGATGACAGCAGGAGTTTTGTCTTGGCTAGTTAGCTGGAAAAATAGATTTGTAATGAGAAATTCTGCTTACTTGCTTATTAGAGAATGATTTAATGATTACTAAAGGCCTGTCCTTTTGTAGCCCACTTGGTCTTGCAAAAGATTTTAGGGAACTGATAAATTACACCGGATCAGTAGTGAAGGAGTAGATACTAAGACATGATATGTGTGACGTTTGGTGGTGGTGTTTTTTTCTAATTCAAGGAGACAGATAATGTACTGGCAGACACAGCACTAAATCAGTGGCTGCTCCTCTGAGCAACCGCTCTGGGATGGTTTTTTTTCTTACTAGCCATAAATTCCACATAAATAACTGTCCCATCTGTTGTTTGCAGACATCAGTTAATCTGGAGTGTCATGTGCTAAATACCTTCTCTGACATTCTGCAGAGAATTTTGGCCTTGTAACTTAGTGTACTGTCTGCTGTGGAGGTGCATTGTGTCCAGAGCAGACACAAGGCTTGCTCCAGAAAGGTAAGATTTGTCTCTTGGTGGCAGAATGTGTCAGGCCCGCAGGGAACTGCTCTTTGCCATTTGGAGAGGTCAAGCCACTAAAATTGTGAAATAGCTGAATGTGGAAAAAAAAAAAGTTTTTTGTTTGTTTGTTTGTTTTTCCAAAGGCCTGAGGGACCCAAGAGAATTTGCTAGGCAGCTGATCTGCCTGGAGAGATCAGCAGTGGGCAAGTCACATCACCCCAGGCCCTGCACTCTCTCTGCTCTTGGCCTGGCCCTGCCGGTGTCAATCTGTGGAACTGCATCAAGGGAAAGGTGGGAACTGGTGCTTTTGTGCTCACAGCTGCAGCCTTTCAGCCACTCCTTACAGCTGCATGCAGCACTGCCTCCCTCTTGCAGCAGGGAGTAGTGAAGGTGTTAGTCAATAGGGGCAGAGGGGCATCCTGGGCCAGAAAGAGCCCTAATTTAAAGATTAGATAGTGCCACAATACTATATATTCAAACCTCTTGCTTATACCATGCTCAACATACTTTGATTTTTAACATTTGTCATTTTTACTTTCAAGACAGTTCTGATTAGCTGGCTCAGCAAACAGGTGTTTTCAAAACTAAAAAAAAACACTTTGTGTTTTAGCAATCACCCAGAATGAAAAACTTCACTAATGATAAGAGTAGTTTGCTGTTCCACACTGCTCACCATGATGCTCTTGTACATATTGCCGTTGTTGTCTTCCACACTGATTCGGATGATGCACGTATCTTCATTCTGCTGGTTGTAAACAGGAGGCAGTACTGTTGAGGTAATGGATGTCACAGAGATAGAGCGCTTGTGGATCTTGGGGTTGGAGGACAAGAAGGGAGGGGATGAAATTACGTTGGTTAAAGATGACACCCCTGAGGAAGACGTGTCCATGGAGTGGATGGAGGAACAGGAAGAGGAGGATTCTGAGAGCTGTACAACAGAAAGAAAGAAAAAACACAGAAACTTTACATTTTGAATGTGTGCAAGGTGTCATTCTAGAGGAAGAAGCTGAGAAAGCAGGAGGTGCGTACAGAACCTCAGTGATCTGCACTTTTTCCAGCCTGGCAGGGGTATTCAACACCTCTAAAAAATTAACTTGATTAATTTTACTGTTTTAATGCAAACCTCCTTCCAGGTTTATGTACTGGACACTGTGTGCTGCTTGCTTTCCCACCGCTCTCAGGAAGAGCAGGCCAGGAGGTGGCAGCAGAAACAACGAATGAAATGAAGTTTTGGGCTCCCAGCTGGGGACAGATGTGGGAAGAGCAGAGTGCCGTGCCACCGCTGCTTTGCAGCAGGTCCCAGCCTTTACATGAGGAACTGGACTCAAAATTGGTATGAAACACTGTCCCACCTCCCTGTCCCCTCTCCCCACCACCACTGTTTTTTGAATATTCTTTCTGACTCCTTTTTCCCTTACTGCTCAGGGTTTCACCTTTCCCTTCATCTGCCTTGCTCAAAACCTGCTGACAGGACCTACTGCCTCTCCAACTTGTTCATCAAATCCACTGTAACAACTAATCAGCTAAACTATTTGAATAGTTCAGGTGTATGCCAATGTCTGGAACCTCAACTTCCATTTGATTTAAGAACATTAAGTGCAATTTAATTTAAAATATCCATCAGCTAAAACCCAATATACCAATATACAACATCCTTACCAAAATATCCCTAAAAAGGTCTTCAAAGCATTTT